GGGGAGAAAAAAGAGAGAGAGGGAGAGAGAGAGAGAGAGAGAGAGAGAGAGAGGTATCTAAAGGGAGAGAGCAAGAGAGGGGAGGCGATAGGATTGAGGTGGGTTTTGCAGAGAGTGAAGGACAAGGTTGGCTGGCTTGTGGTTGTTTCATTTTAATTTTTTAAAAGATAATTCTAGTTTTATACTGTCGAATTTTATTCTATTTTTAAAATGATTAAGAAAATACTTTTGAAAAATAACTCACATATTGATTACATAAAGTTGTATAAAATAAATAAATTTACATAATTACATAATGTATTTTCATTAAAGTTGTACATTCTTTGTTTTTGTTATTTTATGTACTATCAAGTTTGGACTGTTTTCATTTTTTGTACTACCAGACATGTTTTACTATTTTTATTTTTTGAATATGTTTTCCAATTAATCTACCAGACGCGTTCTTAAATTCTGAAAATGCAAATTCGTTTTCTCAATTGCATTCTCTGAAAATATTTTGAGAAAACATTCTCTGAAAACGTTACCAAACGGGGCCTTAATGAGTTGCTCTTTTCAAAATTTAAACAGAGAATATATAACTAGCATATTCTTATTACTTAATTTATTCACAACGCAGTCATCATCGGATGATAAGTTTTGGGGAATTGCAGGCACCTCAAAGGCCATAAGGTCATATAAAAAAGCGGCCCTAAATGCCTGAATTTAAATTTGCACATGAAATTGCGCACTCACTCACTCATCTAGTCTCATGTTTTCCAGTTTCAAGGTCCACCGTTTTGTCAATCACATGAAGATTGGCATGGAAAATAAAATGTGCTATATATTTGTGGGGATCAAAACCTAGCTGGATAGGGAGCATGATTGGATGTGGGTTTTTTTAATTCCTCCTTAAATTTTAGTTAAGGAGGTAATTTAAGGAGCCCATTGTGGATGCTCTTACAACCATATTTTTATTTTTCGTTAGAAAAGGCCCAAACCCCCCATAAATTAATTTCAAGATTGATATTCATTATCGGAAAAAGGTCTCGACAACAGGCTCCATTATCTTCTTTAGGCAATAAAACTAATTAGCATTGTTGCCACAGATGGGGGAGAAACTAATTGAGGCTTTTAGGACTTTTCGTTGGGGTAAGGTACGAAAAGGGCTCTACCATTTTGATTGGTTTGAATGGTATTTTTCATGACTTATGGTCATGAAAATTGGCACGTACGATGCAATTTGAGAGGATATATAATATGTGAACGCGGTTGTGAGAAAACCAATCAATCAAGACAAGGACAACATACGTACAGGGTTGCAATCTATCTACAAACCTATATTTCGGTAATGAATTGAGAGGGATTAGCTGTGCTCAATGTCAATCTACATTACCTGATTTATGACAAGAAGGTGCTCGTTCTGAACCACATGAGATCCTAAGTAACAAACTTCATGTTTATAACATACTTTCACATAAGGAAAAATTACTTTGGCCCTTGTAAAAGTCTTACAAGTCTAAAGATGTTAAGAAAAGTATTACATTTTAGGTTGAAATATTGCAAGAAAAACTATAAACTAAAGGCCTGTTTGATAACCATTTTAATTTTAGTAGATTTTATTTTTTGTGCTAGAGTATAGAGGAAAATGAGAGTGAGAATGGGAGCGAAGATGCGATTGAGAGAGAGGATGAGAGGGAGGAGTAACAAAAGTAAGAACAATTTTAATAAATAGATTTCAGTTTTTTTTTTTTTTTTTTTTAACCAAGGAAGAGAAGTTATTCGACTGATATAGCAAATAAGTTTGAGATTTAATAAAGAAAATTCAAACCGAAAATCCAAGATAGCGTGTATCAAATGCCAATATGAATAGTTCTTTTTTATAAAACTCTTATTATATATATATTTTTTTTATTTCTCATAAATTCATAATGGGAGCGATCTTGCCAATAATAACAACGTTCCAAATCTCATCTTTAGTAAACTACTTCTTAATCTCTCTCACCCTCAGTAACCCTCTCTTAGTGTCACTCTTAGGGTTTCCCCACTCCGAACACTAAGTTAACACGAGGCTATCAAACACATCTTCTTGCCGATTTCGACTCCAAACTTCATCCCAACACTTCTATGGTGAACCAAAACAATGAGAACATGCATGAGCAAATGCGCACAATAGAGCACCATATTGCTGAAAAGTTACGAAAAATCAAACTTGATGATGATCAGCAGCTCTGCACCATAGCTTTACAAGAACTCCAGTTACCATCACTAGAGGAGCCTCCTTGTTCCTCCTGCCATTTCTGATCCTCATCTAAAATCTTCTCGAGCTCGCTTGGCTGGCAAGGAATCATAAGGGCACCCTCATGGTCAAAACCATACTCCTCAGCCGCTTGCTCCAACAGCTTCAGAAAATCTGGGTGTGTCAAGTAACTCAATGCCACAACAAACCTTTTTGGTTCGTCTCCATCCACAGCTATCACAGCAAAGTGGCCCTCCTTCACATCTTCTGGCACATTTTTTGAGTCATCAAAGTTGGAATTTGATGATGATTTTGATCTACCCAATGAAAAACTTCTTTGTAGCTTTTCAACTACAATTTTGAGCTTGACAATGCTCTTCTTCCTGCAAGTAGTACTTCTAGTTCTAGACTTAGCCATGAATAGTGCGTTTATTCTATTTTCTTTTTTGTATGTTGGATTGATGGTATTTTTGGTACGTTAGCTAACTTCATTATATATAGTGTTGGGGATAAGATTGGACGGCTTCAATTTTCTTTTACATGGCAAGAAAGAGAAATGTTGATAAAGTTGTGTTGTGAGCATGTAGAGTTAAATTTGTGGGAAACCAGCCCATGTGAGTAGCTTCCAACTTAGCATGAGACGTCCCTTTTAACTTGTCATGTCAACCTCTTCCTCCGGCCAAAATCATTAACGGCACTGCTATTGCTCTACTGATCTTCAACTATCTTATTTCTCGCAGAAGTTTATACGAAACGACGTCCTTAATTAGGTTATGTGCTCCTTAAACTTATTTTTAATGCATGTAATATAATCTGCCTTCCAAAGACGATACATTTGCAGATTCCATTGCGGAGCTTGACCTACAGGGCGTACTCATGCTTTTGATTGAAGTACGCAGTGTAAAATTTTGACGCGGATTCGTCCTCCATCACAAAATTTCTTTGAGGTGTGAAATGCATGTCTCCATTCTAAAGTTTGATTTCTGTGGTTCTTGTTTAAAATTTTCATTTATCTCATGGATGTGCATTCCACGAGATCATCATGTTTATTCTGAAATAAATATCTTGTTCTTTTCTCAAACCGTGGAGACATTTTCCATCTTCCCACATGGGCATGGTGTTGAGTTAACAGTTCCGGCTTTGGCTTTCATGAGGAAGGAGATCTTTTTTTTATTTTTTTATTACTCTTATGATCTTTGAGCTTTCACTAGAATTACTTTATTGTGTTTTTCATTGATTCAAATGTTTACTTTAACTTAACCCAACTTTTTCCTCTCTCTTTTTTCCCTCTTGTTTAAGGTTCGAAATCTCCAGGCACCCAATAAACATTTGTGTAAACCCCCTCTGTTAATATCGATTGTAAAAAATAAAAATAAAAACACCTTCGATAGATGTGGTGATAAAAGTGTTCTTGTAATCAACAATGTGTACATATAAGAGCCTCCACAATGAGAGGGTGTATAAGGGGGTGTATGTTAAATATACACCATTTGTCGCCAGAATCATCTCCAATGGGAAGATGTAAATGGTTATAAAAATACACCACCACCATGGAGATGTAAAATTATATGCACATTTGCATCTTTTTTTACATCCTTTGCAGGCGGGACCCACAAGAGAAAAAGGGAAAGAAAAGGATTGGAATTCAAAATGGAAAACCTCGAATTCATGCAATTTGCATTGCACTTCCAATAGCCCATATTTCTACATAGATATTTTTATGTTAATTTGTAGGTAAAATCATATGTTCTTCAAATTTAAATTTTTTTAAGTCCATTTATTTGGAAAAATAAAATAAATCTAACATGCACAAATTTAATTTTAAAAAGTTAAAACATAAAAAAAGAATTATCACAAACAAATCGAATATGCATCTTTGGATTTACATCGTTTCTCATTGGAGCAAAAAACGTATTTACACCCTCTGGAGATGTAAAAGGGATGTAAAAGTGGCTTTACACCTCCGAAAATACACCCCCCACTGTGAATGCTCTAATGCCTACATATAACAGCACCTGCATGGGCAACTTGCTCTAGTCTCTGTTCTTTTGTATTTCCCCACCTGAAAAGTATATACAAAATAAAAGTGCTTTCTATAAATGGTGGTGGACCGTACAAGCAACCAGAGCTTTCAGTATCCGTCAAAATCTATCATGTACTGTAACTGTACTACTCCATCTTTCTAATTACACATCAACAATTTTAAGTGAACTACTTTTTTTTTTTTATAAGCAGAATATGGTCAGATGATTAATGAGATATAGAGCATTTGAAGGTCGTGTAAGATTGGATGAGCTTGTACGTATAGGTGTTTGCACTGAGGTCCTGGATTTAGTTAATTCATGCAAATTGGTTGGATTTAGTAAACCCAACGAATTTTATACGTTTGGAAAACAACTGTACTCATTGTTTCTGGGTTTCTTCCACGTGATAAGCTTTTGGTTGCAATTTGCAGCACCCCCAAAGGCCATAAGATCGTTATAAATATTTAAAATAAAAATAAAAATTGGTTGAATCTAAGCTAGGGCCCCTAATGCTTGCAATTTGCGCATGAAATTGCTCACTCACTTACTCATGCACTCACTCACTCACTCACTCGTCTAGTCTCATGTCTTTCAGTTTCAAGGTCCACCGTTTTGTCGATGATATGAAAGCGAAAAGATCTAAAGTTTTGTGATAGGCATGGAAAAAGTGATATTTGTGGGATCAAAATCTAGCTGGTTACACCTAGATATTTTGTTAGAGAAAGACCAACAATGCAGGTTCAATAAATGACACCCCATCTCGATTAAATTCAAGATTGATTCATTATTGAATATAAAGGTCTCAACAGAAGGGAGAAACCACAGGCACAAGTTAAGGTTCGTTTTTGTATTCGTTGGGGTAGGTACGGAAAGGACCCCATCATTTTGATTACTTTGAACTCGGCACATTGCTATCATTTTGATTACTTTGAACTCGGCACATTGCTATTTGAAGAGTTAACATGGAACATTGTTGTCAAAAAAAAGCAATCACAACCGTAATGTATGATTGGCTGCTACTAATTATGTTGTCAACATTGATATTTCTAAATGTCGACCAAATAAAGACACAAACAAAAAGCAATCATATACCTACGATGTAGAGTGGTATTTGGTATCAAAACAATCTTCCCTAGCTAACGGAAAGTTCCCTAATCTAGTTTTAGGTCTAGGAAGTGGTTACTCAGAAAATAAGATATGACTACCAACTTTTTCACCCAATGACTGGTCTCATAAACATCATATTCCAAATAAGTAACTAGATCTGATTAGGAACTTAAGACATATTCAACTTATAAATATGCCATTAAATTTATGGCTTTTGGCATGTACATATATGAGTATTTGCGCTCCATAAGAACATCTCCAAGGGAGATGTTAATTTCAACGTGGCATCTTTAGCATGTATAAAAAATAGCTGAAATTTACTCCAACTGAAATGTTAAATCCTACGTAAAATAACATTTATATCCCATGCTGTTATTTTTGGCTGTTTGACTTTGTGATGTTATTTCATTATTTTTCAATGAATGTGCCTAGAAAGTAATAAACTAATAAACACTATGTAATAAGATAATATTTTAATTGAAATATCAAGTGGAATGTAAAACTATATTATATGTCAAATTGCCACTTATTACGTCATCAAATTCAAATTTAATGTTTGATATTAGGGAGATGCTCTAAGAGACACATCGAACCAAAAAGCCGAATGTGTCAAATATGAAAAGTAATAAAGAAATTAACATCCGGAAAAGAAAAAAAACAATTACAGGTCCTATAGATGCATCATGCAATGGCAAGTTGTATGATTTAAGCCTGTCGCTGTGCTGATTAAGGTCATAGTTGTACCAACAGGCAAATATGAACTCCTTGGCCGACTGTATATGGACATTAATTGTATTATTTCCAGCATGAAAGTGTTAAAATAATTAAATAAGCAATCCAGTTTTGTCAGAAGAGAACATATCACTGATCGGATACATCATCCCAAAAACGTCTTAAAATGCTTAAAGAAATAATGCAAACATATATGTAGTAGATGCCTTTCACACATCTTTCGAGGGTTCTTCTAGTTACTGTGCCTAGGGTTTTAGGTTTAGGGTTTAAGAAGTTAAGACGGGGCAAGAATCTATTCGTATTCATGCAACAAATCTTATCAGTGTCCCAATAGAATCTACACCCCTCATCTCTACAGTGTAAGCCTCTCACTAGGCAAGGCTATATTGTTCATGATCAGTAGCTCTGTACACAGTTTTACAAAAAAACCACAGTTACTAGACGAGCCTTTCTTCCTCTTGCCATTGCTGATCATCATGTAAAATCTTCTCAAGCTCGCTTGGCGGACAAGGAATGGTGATTGCAGCTTCATGGTCAAAACCATACTCCTCAGCTGCTTGCTCCAATAGCTTCAAGAAAGTTGCGTGCGTCAAGTAACTCAATGCAACCACAAATCTCTTTGGTTCGTCTCCATCCACAGCTATCACAGCAAAGTGACCCTCCTTCACATCTTCGGGCACATTTTTTGAGTCATCGCACTTGGAAACTGATGATTTTGACCTACCGCACAATAGACTTTTTTTAAGCTTTTCGACTACAATTTTGAGCTTGACAATGCTCTTCTTCTTCTTGCAAGTAATACTAGTAGTTCTAGACTTGGCCATGAATATTGTGCTTTATTTAGTTTATTTTCTCTTGATCTATGTTTGATTGATGGTATTTTTGGTACGTTAGATCACTTTATTATATAGTGTAGGGTACTGGACGGTTTCTATTTACAGTATTGACTAGCAAGAAAAAAGAAACGACAAGGTGCTGCACTGTTTGGAGACCAGCCCATGTGAGTGATGACTTATAGCTTCCAACTTAGCATGAGACGTCCCTTTAACTCTTGTCATGTCAACTTCTTCCTCTACCAAAATCATTTACGACACTGCTACTCATCTTTTCCATGCGTTATATTAAATGATTCCTCTGTCTAATTTCATTATGAAATTTAACGAGCTATGGTTAACCAAGCCTATAATGATCACGAGCTAACCAGTCAACTCGATCTCAACCCAGATAGCATCCCAATCAATTATGTTTTCACAAGCATAAAAATATAGTGAGCCATATGGTGGTCATCTTATGGCAAAAATTCTTACAGTTTTGCTCTTAAACGTGTTTTACGAAAGACGTAACTTATGCTTTATAAGGACAGATGTCGTTCTAATATCTCACGAGATTTGAGTGTTTTTGGGATTTGTGTGTAAGCAAAAGAACGATAGATTCATAACATTTTCAGTGTGAGAAAGATGTCTACCGGATTAAGATTGGCTTAATATATTCGTAGAATAACCCATCTTCAAATATCTTATCTCTCATGAGAAAAGCTTGTACGAAGTGCATATCATGTGCTTCTTAATTTAATCAATATCCATAGTATGATCTTCCGCTTTCCCTCCAAAATATGATGCATCTGCAGTGCCATGAAAAGACCTGGAGGACGGACGTACGCATGCTTATAAAGCAGTAGTACATGGTGTAAAAATTTGACGCGGATTCAGCCGCCATCACACAAATTTATTGACAGTGTGTGAAATGCATGTCTCCGCAAGCTTGGTTCTGTGGTTCTTCTTCAGTCCTTTGAATTTTTCATCATGTAATCTCATGCACATGCACCCAATCCACAAGTTCGATTCATAATGGTTCTGTGGTCCTTCTTTCTTTTTTCCTGTTAAGGTACCTAAGCATGTAGTTGCCTAGAACTTTCGAGAGATAATCGACATCGTGTATGTGGCGTATACAAATGACGGGGCCACATGAAGACCTGGAGTGGTTATCGCCCCTTCAACCTACACGTGGTTCTCCGTAAATTCAAAGATATATTTAATATTTTATGAAAGAATTATTTCCAAAAATGTTATATAATGATCCTCCCAATTAAGCTATTCACACACTTGGCCCCATTGGAACCACCACCAACGGTGTACACTGTACACATACAATAATAATACTTAAACGGACAACTTGCTTGCTCTAACCTCCGTCCTTTTGTCCTTCCCCACCTGAAAATATACATACAAGTCGTTTCTATAAATGGCGGGGGACCGTACGTACAAGGTACCTCAGGTCCACAGCTTTCGGTACGTGACAAAATCCAAATGCATCTATCATATATATGTATAATGTATTGCACCTTTCTGATTAATAAGAGCAGTGGAACAATTTTCAACCAATATTTGTATTATTATAGTTATTTGTTCCCGAGACATTATCAACATATCATATGATTAATTGATCACTTGAAGGTGATGTTTGAAGAAATTATAGAATATTACGGTAGTATAGCCATGTGATATATTTTGTATATGTGTTATAAAATGGGTGGGCGACATGGTTTATTTTTTCCTCTTTTAAGGAATAGTATCAATAAATATCCACTTATATTATAACATGTGTACAAGATGTACCACATAGTCGTATTACCATAGTATTCTATAATTACTAATGTAATTAGGAGGACAAACAACAAGGGGATTATAGTTGGTTAAAAGCATTTACCCTTACACTCAAGGTCTTAGGTTTGATTATTCCTACCCAAATATCGTTTGTATAAAAATAAATAAAGATGTAAGGATAAATTTAGGTTAGCCTAGTGGTGAGTGTATGTGGGAAAATAAATTACGATTTGTCTAAGGGAAAATGGGAGGACTGTATTGGATGTTTGGTTTCAGTACCTTTAAAAGAACTATGCATGGCTTCCTCTTGTAAGGCTTATTTCTAAGGTTTCAGTACCTTATTTGCGTGTGTGACCGTGAGTCTTTTAAAAATAAGGTTTATTTACTGTTTCATCTCCAGAAAATGATGCTTGGTCTCACTTTATTTCTTTAAACTGAAATTTCCTCATTTTATCACTTCCATCCATTTCCGTCCACAAAACCGTTAAGAGTGCTAACGTGGCATGGGCATTCTAGTAATTTTAACTATCTATTTTATCTCTTCTCTCTCTCTCTCTCTCTCACACCTCACTCCCTCTGCCTCTCTCTTCTCTCTCTCTCTCTCTCACACCTCACTCCCTCTGCCTCTCTCTTCTCTCTCTCTCTCTCTCACACCTCACTCCCTCTGCCTCTCGGGTTTGATTGGATGGCATAAATTCTGTGCTGTTTGTGTTTGTTTTAATCTTGGTTTTTGAAGATATCTCAATACACATACATACGTACACAGAATATATATCTGTCGTCCCAATCGTTCAAGCAATCCAGAGAATATGGGGAGTGGATGTCGATGAGAATTTTATTTTATTTTTTAAAAAAAAAAATTTGAGTGGTGGTTTGGGTGTGTTGAGTAATTCCATGGAGGGTGGGGGTTGGGGCTGGCGAGAGAAGAGAGAGGCAGAGAGGAGAAAGAGACAGAGAGAAGAGAGAAGAGAGAAGATAAGGAGCTAAAATTATTAAAATGTCCATGCCATGTCATCACATTTAACGGTTTTGGGGATGAAAATGAACAGAAGTGGTAAAGTGAGAAAATTTCAGCAATTTTTAGAGATTCATAGGTTAAATGAGAAAATTTCAGTTTGATGGAGTATAGTGAGACCGAGTATCCATTCCAAAGGTGAACAAGTATATAAGCCTAAATAATAATAATAATAATAATAAATCCTGATCAATGCGAAATCTTCTTGTCTTTTTCATTGATCTCTAAAATACTTCTTGTTATGTACTACATTTTTACGTTTTGTGCATTTAGCAGTAAAGTTCTGTTCGTAAAAATTATATCGACCAACCATAATAATCATTGTAGATCTTGTGAGCTACTGGGATTCAATTCTTTGTTGAATAATTTAAGTCTCATATTGTAAACTTGACTAAATAAAACATAACATATAATAAATGGTTTTACTACTAATATCACCGAGGGCTTTTGTGATAAAACTCCACACCCCTTCTAGAATTTGTAGATAGTTAAGTTGGGATCAATATCGATGAAGCTAGTAGTGGGCCGTTGACAAAGGTGGACCCATGAAATTTTATAGGGGTGGACATTTTTTTATGGGAGATCAATTATATTACCTTTTTCCCTCTTAAAAACAAGTTTACATGCAAAGGAAATGAGTGGTACGTATCTACTATTCTTCAATTAACAATTTTTAAATTTTATGGGAGTATACATAGAAGTAGGGGGTGCAGTAATATAGATCTACAATTGCACAATCACAAGCTACAACCATTCAACAAAACCAAGAGACAAGTAGACTATATAAAAGCAGAGATCAAGTAATGAATAGATTAAACCAGAAAAAGGATGAGTCATCAATAAAATCCTAGCAAATTGCATAAGAAAAAAGTCCCCAAAATTTAACATCCAAACCCTAAATCATAAAAAGCTAACAATAACAATTGAAATTGGAAATTAAACAAAAAGTAAGAGAGAAACTTACTAATAAGAACCCATTGGATATAGGTTGATACAATTTTAAAGAGGAGGAGACCTATTACTTCTAAGCTCTCAAGTTCAAATATAAAGTAATACATCGGTGGGTAATAGAAAAACATGATGTTTGATGTGCATGTGTGGGTATCTCTAGAGATAAAATCTTACGGTTGGGATAGGCTAATTTCAACAAAGAGAGGTGGACTATTTTTCATTAACCTGGGTTTGACTTATAAAATTAACACTAATTTTTTTCATCTCCAAATTTAGCACTGAGCTAAAACCCACTTTAACCCATACATAGATCTACCATTGACTGCTAGCCCTTTCTGAAATTTAACATTCTTATCATACGTTTTACTCCTATTCTTGTGTGTTTGTATGTTCTAAATAATAACTCAAGTAATATGACACTCCTAATCATTGGACAATGAACTTGTGACTCACAAGTTGTGAGTAACTTTTAGTTTAAGTCATTCATGGTATATATGAAATGAACCAGCAGACTCTACTTCTCAGGAACTATACAGGCAATTTCATCAAATATTCTGCACCTTTATTCTCACATATATGCAAACACAATTAAGAAAGCTCTGCAATGTCCATAACCATGCTTCTCTTCACACTTAAGACAACACAATTCATTGTAACAAATTAAGGTGCTTAAACTTTATGTTATTGTCCTCTATAACAAAACTGAAACAACTGTAATTGCTTCCTCCAGGTGGTCATAATGCTTGAATTTGAACATGAAATTGCTCACTTACTTGTCTAGTCTTGTGCCTTCTCAATCTCAAGGTCCACCATTTTGTCCACGACATAAAACATAAAAGATCAAAAGTGATATTTGTGGGATCAAATCCAGCTGTCCATGTAGATATTTTTGTTAGCTAGAGAAAGACCAAAAATGCAGGTTTGAGATTGATTCAGTATCGAAAAAGTTCTCGACAATAGGCTCCATATGTTTTCTGGGCCATGAAATAGATGGAAGAAACCGTCGGCTGTACTTGATGCCTCTTTTTATAATTGTCTGTTCACTGATTACTTTCTTTTAGCTTTTAGTTGGGGTGATGAGGTACGGAGAGGGCTCCATCATGTGTGACTAGTTTGAATGGTATTTCTCCAACTTATGAAAATGAACTTGTCACAATGCTATTTGAGAGGAGAATATGTGAACATGGTTGTGAAGAAACCCATGGATCAAAAGAGAAGCACGAACATTTGAACGGTATAGTTTAATAATGCAAAAGAGGAGTGGTCGGCCGGTATCGAGTACAAATCTACAACGTACATTGTAAATATTCGGTCCATATTTGGTTGATATTTCCGAATATCAATAAAGACAAAAAGTCTATAAAATATCGGCAATATAGTATGTATTGGCGGATCCATGAATTTTTTAGAGGAGATGCAATTTTGAAATGCTAAAAGCTTTATAATTAAAAAAAAAATTGACAACCAAATATTCTTATAATTTGAACACTACCAAGATTCATAAGTAATAGACAAAAAAAAATAGCAGTTCAATTAAGCTACAATGTTTTCGATGAGGTTTCATATCATGAAAACCTCATACCCAAAAAAAAACAAAAAACAAAAAGAAAGAATTGCTAAAGGGTAATGCTAGGCTTACCAACCTCTATTAGAGAAGTGATACACAATGTGATATATAAATGCAGTACGCCTAGCATTTTCCACTACTTAAAGCCCACAAAATGCTTGCCTTGTTTAAAGAATTGCTTTAGGAAAGAATTGTTGTTTAAAGCCCACGAAAAAAATTGTTGTAACAAAGAATCCTTGTTTAAAGCCCACGAAATGCAAGCATTGTTGAAAGCCCACGAATCCCCCTCTTTTTTGGGACTTAAAAAAAATTATATATATTAGCGCACTGCGTTGCTGCTTGCGTTGTCGAACACCTAGAGTGCACAACCATCAGTTTGAGCAAATGGGCAATTTGAAACACCTACACTAATTTTATTTTATTTTTACGAGGGGAAGTGCAATTGCACCTCCTTGCGCCTTAATAGGTTCGTCATTGGTACCCAAAACCAAACAATCCATTCTTAATTAATGAAAAGTAACCTAATTCAACTTTAGGGGTAGGAAGAAGTAAATTAGACAATAATTAGAAATTGCTATCAAATACCAAGATTATTATAGCAAGTAGATAATATCGACAAAATATTGATACTTTATTGTCATATAAGACTCTATGTGACTATTTCTTATCCAAAAAATGGGTCACATTGACAACATATCGAGGTGATATTGATGTACTAAGGCTCTTTATTATAGTAGTAGTGTTATTTGAAAGTAATAATGGTATTTGAGAGCCTTCCGCCAAATAATAAGAAATTTTATCACGAAAGTTTTATTCCAAATAATTCACTAACTAATTCCAATTATGAATTTTAGGATATGTTAAGCATATATATGTGCCATATTGTTTACGGCTTTTGCCACCAAAGAAATTAATAGCTATGTTTTCTTTTCAGGTAACTGCATGTAAACGTGTAGATATATGAGCTTTCAAATTTCTTGTGGGTTTTACCAGTTATTATGTCTCGCTTATCCAAGAAGCAGTAGACAGTTATCTTGGGCTACTTCTCTTCTAGACGTTCAATGTCGGAAAATGTCCCAAATTTGAATATCCCTCAACCGTTGATTACAACCAAAACAAATTTAAAAAAACTTCAGCAATGGATCTCTTGATCCGTGTCTTTTACTCAGATTTTCAGTTTGGTCACTGTAAGCCATTTTGGCCCCTTCGGTCTAATTCAAGCATGCGTGGCAGGGATAAAACACAAGGATCATATTGATCAAATTCCAAACACCTTTTATTTTTGTCTTAATTTTTTTTTTAAAGATTCCAAACACATGGACCAAAATGAAATTGGAGAAAAACAGATACCAAAAGGGTACTTAACCCTTATTTTGTTTCTTAATTGGTTTGAACATATGCAAACTTATGAATTCATAATGGATGAAAAAGAACATTGTGAAGTCAATTAATAATAATGTGCCAAAAAGAAAAGAAAATCTATTTGCATTATTAATACAACTTGCATCTGTATCGGAACAAAATCTACATCCCTCATGTGTTCATCTTCCTAACCAACCTCGGAACCCCCTTCCTTTCTCTCAGGGAAAAATAAAGAATTTTAATTACAAAAGTGAATTCTTGTATGTTATGTTGACACAGTTGAGCGAACTGCCCTTTATATGTATTCCTAAAGCCTAAAACAAAAATCATTTCGACCTACAAAGAAATTAAAGTACAACAGGCTGTTTGTATCCTCTGTCAGCAGATTAGTTGTATATGTACAAAAAGGTGCTCAAAGTATATGCATGAATGTAAAAGAATATGATTTTAGGCAGGTCTCATCGCTGCCCACTGCCATACCTATATTCCGTCCAGGAGGTTGGAGCAGCATTCAGAGACACAGAAGGCTGTAGAATATAAGTGGTATGAAAGCATTATCAAGTTGTGCCGTGTAAGCCTCCAACAAACCACTCACAGTCACGGCTACGAGAAGAGAGCCCCAATGCTGTAAAAGTTAGGCATCAAAATCATGAGCAGATGAAGGAACAAATCCATATAAGATGGGAATAGAGAGAACACTGGCTACCATGACGACATTCTGTATGCCTCTCTTTGTTATTTTGGTGGGGAGAAATGGGGTGGGGGAACAGAAGATTCAGGCACCAATAAAAGATGCAATGCAAAGCATTAGCAAACCTCATACATAAATCACAAGCATTTTGACCATGCTGACAAAAAACCTGCAGCACAAAAACACTGCTAATTTGGCCTCAACCAGGTGCCTCCGCATTTTTGTTTCGAATTAGGAAACACTAAATGGACTTGAACTACCCCGTCTAGGTCACTTGACTCCATAATTAGGCGACTAATTAGGTATCTTATTCAGAAATTCCTTTTCTAAACCAATTTCAACCAAATAACCAGTTCCATTATCTAAGTAATAGGTTCATTGAGCAACGGTCATATGCTAATTTGACAGAGAGATAAAGACAGATATGCCTACCTCTGTAAGAATATATCCGGTTGATGCTAGAAGGGGAAGCAGAACTGAGCAAGCAGCTAAGACAGATGTTATACCAGCTGCAGTCCCTTCAATTGTTTTCTCTATGAACAAGGAAAAGTTTGCATACATTAACAAAATTAATGGAAACACCTTCTTTGGTGAAATTTATCAATAGAATTACTTACTGCCAGTTTTGCTCCACCTGAGAACACCATACTTGTGCCCAACAACTGATGCCTGGACATAAAAACAAACACAAATTCCAATTAATAAATTAAGCAATAGGTGTAACTCCTGTCCTGGTCATCGAGTGCAAGCACACTCACCATGGTATCTCCAATTCCGAGGCTTAAAATTCCAGAAAAGGGGGCAAGGGGTCGATCATTGTACCCAGAAGACATCCAAATAGGAAGAGCACATCCCAATAAGAGTGAAAAGTGGCTGAAAAAAGCAAACAACATAAAAAACAACACAGTTGGGTTTGCATCAAACTTATGTGTTTAAAGCTTGGCTCTATCAGGAGAGGGCTTGTCATACCTGACAATAAGAAGATCTGAGTCACGATGATCAGTGAAAGCATTCATAAATTTATGTATGGATTGTCCCAATGGCCAAATTCTCCATACCTAGTCACAAAGATATGGTCAAGAAAAATGAAATAAGAAAGACAGACTTCTATCCTCGCTCTTTGTAGACATTAACATAAGGTGCTAGTTTGGAAACTTACTCGAATAATTTCCAATGCCAAGAAAACTGCCAAAGCTGCACCGAATGATAGATCAAGAAACTCTCGCTGAAAAAGAAACATACAGTGAGCATATCTAAACACACACAACCAGAATGAACACGCAGATAATATACCAGGATGACAGTCAATCCTTAGTCCCAAGTCACCTGGAAGATAAGAGCAGGCAGAAACATTGACACAGCCATCAGATGGTAGTATTTTCGTAGTAGAATCCTTTCAATCTTGCTATTCTTTGAAATGTTGTAGAACCTTAGAACAGACACATATATCACGCACATCCAATAGACACACAAAGATAGTCTCTTAAGTGGTTCCGAAAAAATAAATGAAAGTACCCTGCCAAAGAAAAAATATTTTATGCTGACATAAGATAGCCATCTGGCAGAATAGATTAGATATTTTTGGTAAATAGAACCAAAAGCAGTATCATTCACAGCAAGTAGCCCAAGTTATGCAACAAAAGGAAAACTTAGATGAACCTTATACAAGTGATATCCCATGCAAGGTTTGCCGTAGAGTTACCAAATTGCATACCCATCACAACCCAAATCCAGATCTTGTACCCAATTCATGGTATTTTGGCGATCCAGTTCTCCAAAACCGGAATTCCAACGTACCATTGTGTGCAAGCAACCAAAATGACAAGCATAAAATTGGAACTTGAAGCTTAAAAATAGCTAACCAATTAACCCTGTGTGCCGCACACCAGGGCTAATGGCACAATTCCCATGCCAGTACTGCAAATCCAAACATGAAAAAGACCCTAGTAACTCTGGTGATGGCATGGAGCCTACCATTCAAACTACAGGAAATTCTTTTTACAAAAAGGAGACAAAACGCTTTTTAGTAAGGAAGTTGAAAACACAGAAAATATAGCATAAAGAAAGTCCAGTTAATTGCAATTCTAGGCCTACATCACAACCTATGGAAAGCAGTTTCGCTGGCATGACTGATTGCAATCTCTCCCTTTAGCCTAAGTCATACTTGCAACTGCACAGACCAATAAGAAGTGATACTTGATTCAGATTTGTGTTCATTATCTAGTTTTGCGCATTCACGTGGAGTCACAACCTATGCATGATATCAACATGCACACAGACCCTTTGGTATCTAGTTCAGACTTCAGAGCACTTGTATATTATGATTGCTTCCCACTCCAGCATATTTCATCATGTTAAGCACAGAAGCAACTTATGACTTGTGTCATTAGGGCCTAGTTTTTTAGTAGTCTTAAAAACGTATGTAATGGACTGCAGCATTTGATTTTCTATTAAATACCATGCAAAGCTTTCAGTCCATACCTACCTATAGTGTTGGGTTACCACCAAACAGAAACCCAATAACCACGTTGGTTAGAAGATAATAAAAACAATCCAGTTAAAGTAAACAAGTATCATTAAAATCAAATTTATGAAGGGTAATACCATAGCAACGGATGCATATGAAAATCCTGAACCAACTGCATCCATGACGGAATGATCACAATCATGATAAATCCAAGGGCAGAAAAGAAGATAAGAGATCTCCAAATCTCGTTGTTTGTCCTAACTTCAGAACGGGCTGTACTGAATGTGGATTCCCATATTCGAAGAACAAATTTAAAGACCATTGGAAAAAGAAGAAGGCCAAGCAGCAATCCCTGCACAAAAAAGGAACAACCTTTGGATTCCAGTCATACCACTTGCAACCAATTTCACCTCTTAAAGAAACATACCTGTATAATAATACTTATCTCACTTCTTTTACTTCCATATTGTACCACCTCTGATTTCATAGTAAACCCAGACACCTGTGTGAGGAATGTTATCACCAATAAGATGAGTATATAAAGCAAATTTGTCGAGAGAAAACATAGCTAAATCGAGCAGAAACAAGAACCTTTTCAATGGTATATGCCAACATGTCACCAAAATAGAGAACAAGACCTGAAGTCACCAGACATGATTCCCCTAGAAAAAAAAAATAAAGAAAAGAGAACATCAACAATTACTGAGAAAAGATCAAGAAATACCTCAACACATGATTTTCACAAAGAGAGATAGAAATCGAAAGAAAAAGCAAGCACAAAGAGATGAGAAGAAGAGGAGAGAGAGTGATCTGATCATTTGGTGACGAATAATATAAAAATTGAACTGCAAGTACTCAAGATGAGTTAACTGAGACAGTTAATGTTTAAAGAACTTAAATATCTGTCAGAACATATGAACTAGGTTGCATCAATTTTTAATTGTGTAAGCGCTAAAAGCCAGTAAAACATGGGGGCAACATGAACACTCTATGGGCAGTTAACTGCTACCTAACAAGCTAAACTATTTCCATTTAGCAGTTACATTTTTTCCCTTCTTCAATCAGTAAGAAAAACTCCATTGCATTTTGCAAGAAAGAGTAGGTGGAATAGAAAAAGTAGCAAGGCATATACCAATGGAAGCACAAGATGGGAAAGTTTTAATAACATGCTGAATTAATTTTACAGCTGCCAATCCGTGACAAAGCATCCACAATAACTTCAATGCAGTCTCAAAGCCTGTATGGAAGGAGCAAATAAAGATTCAGTTGTCCAATTAATATTGCCTTAACCACAAGCAGAGAACAGTTTCCATGTTCCTAAATCAATTCAGAAAAAAAGGATTTGAAAGAGATGCAGGCCACTTACTAGTAAGAGATACTGTACCAAAAGTCACAAAGCTCACTGCTGTGTGTAATATTATGCAACTTAAGCTAAATTTTGCATGCCAAACATTATGTGCAGGTGGAGGAAGCATATTCTCAGGTGCCCGCCACAGAGTTATGCAGAGGAAGATAAGCACACTCAGGCAGCTGGCAGAAGCAGCCCAGTATTGCAACGTCAAAGATTCAAGTTCTGTACAGTAATATTGAACAGATTTTAACATATTAGGGAGGAATCATATGGTGAACAGAAAAGGTGGGAAATTTGTAAAATCAAATAAAAGCAATAAATGAAAAGAGTTACTAGTTAACACAAAACGTTACAAAATCTTGCATCAAGAAAAGAAAAAAGGAGGGTTATGATCTCCAAAAGAGAAGAAACATTCTGCTATAAGGACCTACGTACCCAGCTAACGGAATGCTAAAGACGTCATTTCTATCACCTCATCTCAGATAGGAAAATACTAATTTCAGCTACATTGTATAGTATGAAGAACAAATTGCCAGCATTAAATTAATTGTCGAAAATGAGGGCTTGAACCTTTTAGCTCATCCTTACAAAATTGAAATGAAATTTAAAATTTTAACTTAATTTGATGTCTCTAAATTTCAGAACTTTCAAACTAATGTTATATGCCACAAGATAACGGTCCAATTAAGTCAAAAAACGAAACCAGTACCTTCAATGCCAACTTGGTCCAAGGGGAACGCCCGTGAGAGCTGTATCATTTTGGAGATCACAACAGCGGGCAACGTGACGGCCCCTAACAGTATACCCGACGAAGCACCAGGCCTGAGACAATGAAAATTACAATAATGCCCCTAGTCATCATCTGAAGAAGTTGAAGAACCCTAAGATTTAGAAAAATGAAAGAGGAGAGAAGACCTGGTGTTGAATTGGGCGAGGGAAGTGGAAGAGTCGGCGAGGATGTCGAGGGAGAAAGCGGAGAGAGCGAGGAGAGAGAGGGCGACGCCGTGGAAGAGGAGAGAGAGAGGGAGCGAGAAGAGGACACGACCGATGAACAGAAGCACCACTGCTCTCTCTCCGTTCATCAACCCGGCCATCGCCATCGCCATGGCCGCCATTTGAATTGGTAATCGTAGCTTGTTTCAATTTCGAGACAAGGAAATTGAAATTGAAATTGAAATTGATTGAAGAATCAAAGAGGAGATTCAGAAGGAGCTGTTCTTGTTTGGCATTTTGAGGGTTTTCGCGGGAATTGGGAATTTGGGAGCCCCACCATTATGGGCTAACAATACAAGAGGCTCGCGTGTGAAACGCCTGACCAACTTGGAATATACGATTGGATGCCGTGAGGACTTTGGGAGGCGGGACCAAACTACCCCAACGCGTTGAAACATCACCAAACTATCAATTATATTATGGCTTTTTTCGCAATGGACCTTGGAATTTAGACTTTGGACTATGAAAAGGTCTCTTTTTTTTCCTGCCAAATTTCAAAATTCTATATAGGTAAAATTCAACCATTCCAGGAAGGTGTTCACGAAACAGCAAGAATGCAAACGGATCTAACCCAGTAAAAAAGGGGCCTTGATTTACAGACCAACGGTCTTAAGTTCGAACACTATTGCAGCTTACGAACAATGCATTTGAAACCATTCTAAATTATAAATCTGAAAACTATTAAACTCTAAAGTTATGAATGTGTAATAGTCACCATAACATTTTTTGAATTTTATCTTGTTAGTCACATAAAATTTAAGACAGCATGTCATGATTTAAGGAGCTGATAACTGCGGGACTAGGAGAATAGGAAAGACTTGGTATATAATTTGTGCCTTCGTTCCGGCTCCATTAGTAAGCGAGTAGGGGAATGGTTCCTTCCATTCAGTAAGGCTCTCATAATATGATTCAATCATCCATCACATTCACTTATAGCAAAGGGAACAACAAATATTAACAAACAGAGAGCTTCCATTGAGGGATCCCTCAAATAAGCTTATTTGAGGGACACCCCTTGTAGGGGCCATTCCGGATTGTATTTCACTAATCCAAACCGTCTATTTTGTAGATACACATTCAAAGATCATTTCTACAAAAAATCACTTGAATCCGATATCATTTGACCATTCAATTGATTTATTGAAATTTTAGTATTTTTTTGAAGCACCGTGTTCATTGATTTTGTAGGACACAATTGGATGTCGAAATGATTTCCGATTTGTCTAATTTTTTTTAAGGATGATCTATGAATGAAAACCTAAAAAATAGATGGTTTGGATCATTGAAAAAAAAATTATAAAGTACCCTAAAGAGCGTCCCTCAAATAAAATTATTTGAGGGATCCCTCAATGGAAGGGGACTGTATTAACAAATATCCTTGGTGCTATGTCTTTCATCAACTTTTCTAGTCAAACAAGAGGCCTTTTCATGGTGCTTTTTTCCATTGTCTTACCTTGAGGAGAAATTTGAATTTTGTTTTTGTTTTGTATACAAAGTTGTAGACGTGATGTTTTTTGCCATGGGGCCATGCGAAGATTACAAGCCCAGCTGCGAACCAATGGTGCCGGGAACATATAATCAGTCTAGAAAATGCTGGATCTTGCAAAGTGAGTGAAGCAGCAGGAGAGAACTTATGTTACTGTCAAATTAGTTGAGATTGAGTGCATACATTATATGCCACAAATAAACAGAGACGGGATGCATACAACAACCCTAATTTCATTCTCACAAATTTAGTTCAGTTGTACCAACCCAGATATATATGTTTAATTAATATAAAAAATGAACAACTGATTGTGATCAATGTCTTTTTCTTTTTGTTACGATTATATGAAGCCGGTATTGCTTAATATATAAATTAAATTGATATTGACACTACAAAAGAGTCATCCAACTTTCTTTGAAGTGCAATTTTTCTCTTATGAAAAACATAAAGAACCAATAACACTTTCTTATATAAAAATGCGAGTGTCAAAATTCACCGTTGTAGCGACTTCAATGACCTTCGTGTGATCGTCCGACTTATATCATGACACATAAAAATTCTATCTACAGGCACCAACTTATTTACCAACTTCTGGATTCCAACACATATGACATATGACATGGCATCCCCATGTCATTTGTCATGTCATTTGTATTAATTACATAATTTTTAAATAAAATAAAAAATAATTTCACACAGCAAAAATAAAAACAGAAATTAAAAAAGAAAGAAAAGAAACTCAATGATTTTAGATTTAGGGATACACTCATCTCTTTTGTCTTCCTCGTTCCCTCGAAAACCCCCAGAAATTCAACAGTCCTCCATTGAAGAACTAAAGCTCTTACTGCAGCAGTCTATTGGGCAACATAAATAATAGAGCATGTTTACTCAAATTTATATAGGGGCTATGTTCATCACTTGTATCATTGTAATTCTTTTCATTTAATTGGAAAAAAAAACATATATAATATACACTTATCAGACGGAGAGATTGCAATGATAATGTACATGTTGGGGACGGGGATTGCTGTAGAAATATGAAGTCTATTTCTTATGGCATCCAGATGTGTCAATATGAACTCTCCTTTGTACATCAGAAAGTGGAGGAAAAGAAAAAGCACAATGAAAATTCATAAGAAAAATTATAATACGATTCATATTAAAACATTCAATATGCTTCATTGACGACAGAGACTACTGTGATAAGAGCTTTAGTTCTTCAATGGAAGACTGTTGAATTTCTAGGGTTTTTCAGGAGGAAGGAGGAAGACAAAAGGGATGAGTTTATCCCTAAATCTAAAATCATTTGGTTTCTTTTCTTTCTTTATGTTTCTATTTTTGTTATGTGAAATACTTTTTTTTTTTTTTTATAAAACAAATTATGTAATTAAAATAGATGACATGGGTTGTCATGTCATGTGTTACATGTGTTAGTATCCAAAAGTTGATAAACAAGTTAGTGTCCGTAGCGTTATTGATATTTTAATAAGATGAATACATAAGTTAGTATGACCAAAAAAAAAAAAAAAAAAAAAAAGATCCTAACAGATCTAGGGATTAGGAATTTGATTTCTTAAAGATTTGTGCAAAATCCATGTATGCTTTATCTTGATCGTAAGCTTTGAACTTTTAGAAGCCACATTTTGAGGGAAGATAAAGACACAAACAGCCGCTTGGCACTTTGGCATGCATGAATATTGTTATGCAATTGCGGCTAACTTATCCAGGAATTGGGATATTTCCATTTTCAGAAAAGAAAAAAAAAACCGAGAGAACCCTAAATGTCATTTGATCAAATAGTATCTAATTAGTGGAGACTAAACTGTCATCCACCAATTGATCATCGGCTTTTAACCTATTATCTTATCTTTAAATTTTATCTTATTAACCAAAATAAATACACCTATTAATCCAGTGTGTATACCTAATACCTATAGGATTAAGCTAGCTAATGTTTTTGAATTTTTTTTTGTTTAAAAAAAAAAAAAACTAAGATTTTTCATAGTCACCACAACACAAGACACCTTTTAAGCTTTTATCCCTTTTACTTCTGAAATTGAAATGTGCTTGAGTTTTTAGATATTCAAATATCAACTTTGCAAAAACTCATTTGAATTCGAAATCATTTGACCACTCAATTAGATGATTGTTATTATAATTTTTTTTAAGTACTGCGTTTACTTTTTTTTTTACCAAGATGATTTATGAATGAAGACTTGAAAAATAGACGGCTTGGATTGTTGAAAAAATATTCATCGGGTACTCTAAATGGTGTCCTTCAATAGAAGAGAACTAAACGAAGAGCTTTGGTTGAGCATCCCTCAAATAAGAACTTGAGTAGTAATTTGGAAATGGCTTAAAATTCAACTTGAATTGATACCAATCATTATTCACTACTTGCTCTCGATCAACCAAAATGTATTTCCGCAAAGAAAGGCAAATTCAGTCATAATCTATTTGAGTCAAATCAAGTACCGTACAACTTGGGATTCATAACCTTAACACCCAAAAACCTAGCAAATATA